GGGTGGGTGGGTGGGTATAAATGCTCACCTGTAAACTATAATGTGGATATTAGCAGCATACCCATAAGCCTTTCATAAAATAACTTCCTATGGTTTTGAAAGCTGGTTGACATGAGAAAGGAGAAAAAAAAGAAGGGAGAGGAGGAAGGGGGAGGGAAGGGTTCAGTCTTTTAGCTCCTTTGCCATAAAATTCAGTGGCTGGAGACAGGGTGTGTTGCCAGCTGACTTAATAAAGCCTTTAAAGTACTGCGAGCACAGCTGACACCACATGTTTCCACTGGGACTGTACAAACATAGATTGTTAGAGATTTGTATTCATTCAAAATGACAGATATTACTGTTGCTCTGGAAGCCTACACGCTGAACCTTGGCACCCGCGAGCATCCCGCGAAGAGGGAGAGTCGATCCTTCACATTTCAGAGGACACTGAGGGCAAGCGGGATTTTCAGTGAGAAGCCAGGGGATTTGCCTATGATTTGAACTACGCTCAGGCAGTAATGACACGTTTCAAATAGTTTAATGATACATTTGAAATAACTCACTGTTCGCGAGGCTAGAAAACCACAGAGAAATACCCGGCGTTCTAGAAAGCACCTTCCAAAAAAAAAAAAAAAGCCAATCGGTCCATTTTATAAGACACTATGCAGTCTTTCCTGCATTTAAAAATCTGAGGTCTGAGGTCTGAGAGTGCTGCCCACCCTTGTTTCAAGCCCTACGTTAGGATGAGACACACCTCTGGTCACTACAGGGTGGAAATGCATATGCAGACTAGAAGGGAGGAAGCAACAACTACAACCACTTACACAAGCCCTGAAGAATAGAAATCCACATTAAATAGAGGGGTGGATGGAGTTTTGGTTAGAATTATTACAAATATTTTTTTTGAGGATACAAAGTTTTGAAGATATAAAGATATTCAGTGCTGATAATAAGTTGGTCGGACTACAAATAGAACACTAAGGCTTCCTGGCACAAGCAGATCAAAAAGTTTATAAATGTGACTGTTGATAGAAATACAAGAAAATTCTAAGGGAAGAGCCATGGTATTCTCACGGTGAGTTTTTGACCTTTTAAAGTTTCCTTCTATTCCTCAGCTGCAAAGTGCTTTCATACCAATTTAATTTAGAGCTTCACATCATATCAAATGCAAGGAGAACAGAGGAGCAAAATAAAAGAATGGGGAGCATAAATAGTGAACATTAAAAAAGCACATTAAAATAGAGTTGCTGCTCTTTTCATTAATGTGGAAATAGTAGAAAGAATAGAGGAGGATTAGAATTGCTATATTAAGGCCCTATATCTACAATATACAATTTGAATATCTTTTCTCAGTAAGATCTTTCCCTTGCAGAAGTAATCAGAAGGAATCCCTTTGTTGAACTGCACAGGAATTCTAGAAGCTTTCCTCCTGGTTCTGAATCATGCAGGAAGGATAAAGCCCTTTTGTGTGGTCTGTCCTGCAAAGTGTCTGCGTCATTTGTATTGTATTTTCATATTTCAATAATAGCTTGTGTGTTGTGTCATTGGTAATTTACACATGCGTTCATTCCCTCAGAGAAATAAGTAAATAAATGCGAAGAAAGGTAAAGTGTCTTTATCTAAGCTATGGTTTTAGATGTGAGCAATCAATTTTCCTTTGTCTTTTTTGTTAACTTATGGAAGCAGTGATTTCCCTTCATGTGCTTTCCACAGATGGACTTCTAAGTATATACAAAGATGTCAAACAAAGACAATATTTCATATCTTGTAAACAGGCTCTGTTTCTTCTTTCCAATATGACTGTTCTTAGATCACTTAAGAATACTTGCAAGTAGAAGTTCAGGTTTTACCAGTCCAGGAAAGTTTATTATTCTCATTACACTGACCAAACTCACAGGATCTTTCTGCTGTCTTAATACTGAATTTATTTCTTTATACTATTACCATGTTAGGTGACCCAAACTCACAGGATCTTTCTGCTGTCTTAACACTGAAGGTACATTTATTTCTTTATACTATTACCATGTCAGGAGAACAGCTGCCATTCTTGCTATCATTAGGAATGAGATATTCTCATTTGGAAAATACGGATTCACTATGTACTAAGCACACCAAAGTTGCCAGTATAAAATCTAAATTGTACTTCTATTATTTTTCAGGAAACAGCTCAGGGAACTGCCTAAGGATCTAAGAAAAGAATTACTCTCCACTCACGCTTAACTCATTTGGAGCAATGCCCAGATGGATCCTAAGATCAAGCTTTTCCTCCTATAAGTATTACTGTTGACAGAACTTTCTAGTGTGTCCACCTGTCTTTCCTGAAGACTTCTACTCTAGATGGATGAGTTGTCCCACCACAGCTCAGTAATTCGAACAATGTCATATTTCAGAGGCCACACAAAGAACTACCATTCCTCTTGCTTTTTTCCCAGTCTGGGTACATTTCCGTACATAAGACATCCTTGAGGTGGACCCTCTTTCACTTGGTTTTATTATTCTAGTGGTCTCTCCTGTACCAACCACCTTGCTCCATTTGCTGTCCACACCTGCCCACCACTTCCTTACTTGACTGTGGGTTGTAATTTGCCTCCACAACCACTCCTAGTTTAAAGTTCTCACCAGGATGCCCAGCCTGGTGGCAAATATGCTGTTGCCAGCTTTGTCAGGTGAATCCTGTTTCTCCCCATATGTCCTCAAACCTCCAAAAGGGGGTCCATTGGTCTAAAAGCAAAATCCCTGTGCCACAGGAGCTACCTGCTCTGTCCCAAGCCTTTGACTGTCAGGGCTGAGGAGACTCTATGAAGTCCCATATCCTTTCTGGTATGTAAAAACCACCATATACTTTAGACAGTATAATCTGGATAAACACAGGAATAGTCATAACAGAACTATCAGTCATAAAATGCACTCAGTTCTTATATACCTTGAAAATTGAGGCTAGACTAATTATGGTACCTTTTTTACACCCAGAAAAACCGATGACATCTTCGAGATAAGGTTGATGAAAACCCCAAAGTAAAACATTTATATAAGACGCCTCTGAAAAAAAACTGTATCTGTGTATGCATGTTACTGTTTATGCAACTCATAGTAGTCCTTTAATCCAACAAGATACTAACAAGAACATTTAAGTTAAATAAAATTTAATCCCTATCAAGAAAGTCATGAGCACCAGAATGTTGATACATAATAAATGCTATTTATGCATCAGTTGCTATGAATGCAAAAATCCTCCTCCATAAGCAAGAAGTTTCTTCATGTACTCTAATCTTCATTTAGAGCCCAATCTGAAAATAATATTTGAGGCTTCAAAGAAAACTGCATATTGAGACAAAGAGGAGGGAAGGAGGATGAATACCAGGATTAATATTTCCAAAAAAGTTATTTGTAAAATCTTGGTTATCTCATACTTTTATTGCATTGCCAAAAATAAGGATATAAACTGCACTTTAACAAGGAGGAAAAAGACTACATCCTTAATTTTGTGTTTCCATTGATAAAATGACATCAATAACATTTGAGAGCAAAATGGACAAGAGAAATTTCCAAGTGCTGACAAAATAAGGCACATACCCACGAGGGGAGAGGAGAGGCTTATGTTTAGCTTTATTGATTTTCAGTACACAACATTAATACAGCTCCATCTGCCAGCAATGTGAATCAACACGGTAGAGCTGCTTTTACCCAAATAAGCCCACTGGCTGTTTAATTTGTCCTTCCCAAAGACTTTACTGATCCCTTAGTAGGGATAGTCCTTACTGGATTCATATTTAATATGAATCCAGTACGTATGGTAATTGTCTCCCTCTCAAAACTGATACTATATTTTCTGATAACAGCATATGGAATTATTCCTAATTATGTCTGACCATGGAGAGGAATCAGATAAAAAAAAAAAAACACCTTTGTATTAATCATCATGGTAAATCACTATTTCTTCCTTGTTTCAACTGTATTTCCTAAAGCAGCTATTTTCTGTTCCCCTCACCAACAGAAGAAATATCACTGCAATGTGGAAGACACATACTTCTTGCAGCCTGTCTTAATTAAGCCCTATTAACTTATTCTACAGTGTTTATCAGTGTTTCTACAGTATTCTACAGTGTTTATCTTAGCCTGTATTGATTAACTCGTTCGTATCGAAGCTAAAAAGTAAAAGCATATTATATTTTCAGTTCATGAAGAACCCTAATTTCGGAGCTTGGCATTAGGGACAGACTGTGGATGGACCTGGTGAAAATCAATATATCCATACAGCTGCACCAGGTTTATTTTTGACACTTTTTTGCCATTATGAGAGGGATTTTCCTTTCATTTCCTAAAATTTTTAGCTTTGCCATTGTATTTCCTGATACTTCACATTGTTTATGGATTATATTCATTCATGGTTTCTGTATAGCAATTGCTGTCAACTTTGTAAATACTCTTGGTTCAAATCCTGGTGGGGGGGTTCAAATCCCATTTGGACTATAGTGGTGGGGTGGAAGAGTGAATTCTTTTTATGTTGAATTGCGAGCTAGGATTGCAACCATCAACTCTTTCTCAGCCAGCTACTTTGCAATTGATTCTGGCTACAAAGTGGATGCACTAAAGTGTAACAAGGAAGAGTTGGCAATTTTCTCTCTTAATTACTTAG